ATGGATTAATATGACCTGAGGTTTATATTTTATACAAGGAGCGCTGGAATTGAATTAAACACTATACTATCTAGTAAGTTGAACTCTTCCGATGTGCCATAGGTGGGCAGATTGAGGAAAAGTTGGATTACATACATCAGTTTACCTTAGGTGGAAAAAACTTGAATACATAAATAACCGATAAAGCTATATGCATGAAATTCAGCAACCATTATGTATGGAATGAACGCTTTCAACATATACCGATGCATTGTACAAAATGATGAATATTAACATTTGTTGCTGATTGATAATTTTATGCAAGATGAGTTTATTCAATGCATCAATCCATTGAGGATCTGAAGTTGGTTGTCATGATGATGATGTGGTCTGCCTACAAACTGTATTTGGAGATTACTGCCAGTCATTAATGTAAAGTTAGATCAAATATAGTGCATTATGACAGATAAGATAATCAGTGCAATATCTATCATAATATTATTTTGTTGTTTGTGAATAGTTGAGTGTTTTTTTTAATGTTGAATTTTCATAATACATTTATTGGCTCTATAGGTGGAAGTTGTAAACCTTTTAAAATTAGACTGCATTACCCTGGCATGACTCTGGACTCATTATTTGGGATTGGTAACTCCACTGTTCCTCCTTTTCCATTACAGATTTCATCTTGCTCTCTGTTGTTGGACAAAACCAAAAGGAAACCCACCCTATCCTCTGGGGCGGGGGGGGGCATTAGAATGAACCTGTTGCTTTGCCCTTCATGGACAAAGCACATATTTACTTTAAACAAACCATGTAACAAAGTTGACCGCAACTCAAAAGGTGAAAATTTGCCATATTACAGTGAACATCTAGAAATATTGTGTCTAAGTGGTACCTTGAAAAATCTAACTTTTGGTGTTCTCACTATAGTGCTACTCACTTCTCTTATTGGAGATGGACTTGCAGACAAGGATCTACCTACTTCTGCTTCATTCATCCTGTGGCTCTTTGTGTTCTGCACCTCTCCTGCTGCTTCTTGAATATTCCCTTACCAGTCCATAGGGGAAGCGCTGACATGAGGATGCAAATCCCTGCTCTTCTACCAAAATGGTATGACTCCACACAGAGACATAGTGTGAATGGAATGTAATACCACAGAAACACAGTGTGCATGCAACATAAGACCACAGAGACACAGTATGGATGGAACAAAAGACCACAGAGACACCATGTTGATGAAACATAAGACCACAGAGACACAGTGTGGATGGAGCAAAGAACCACAGAGACACAGTGTTGATGGAACATAAGACCACAAAGACAATGCGGGTGGAACATAAGACCACAAAGAGACAGTGTGGATGGAACATAAGACCACAAAGACACAGTGTGGATGGAACATAAAACTACAGAGACAAAGTGTGGATGGAACATAAGACCAGAGAGACACAGTGTGGATGAAACGTAGGACCACAGAGACACAGTGTGGATGGAACATAAGACCACAGAGACACAGTGTGCATGGAACATAGGACCACAGAGACACAGTGTGCATGGAACATAGGACCACAGAGACACAGTGTGGATGGAACAGAAGACCACAGAGACACAGTGTGGATGGAACATAAGACCACAAAGACAATGCGGGTGGAACATAAGACCACAAAGAGACAGTGTGGATGGAACATAAGACCACAAAGACACAGTGTGGATGGAACATAAGACTACAGAGACAAAGTGTGGATGGAACATAAGACCAGAGAGACACAGTGTGGATGGAACGTAGGACCACAGAGACACAGTGTGGATGGAACATAAGACCACAGAGACACAGTGTGGATGGAACATAAGACCACAAAGACAAATCTATATATCAGATGTAAGAGATGGACATTTGCAAGCTAAGGTGGGCAGGGGGGATTTGGGACTAAGATGAGTTATGCTGCTCACATGTGAATAGTAGGCTGATCCAGCACTGTGCCTGACCAGCACATGCACAGTACAGTTTAAATTCAAAGCACCAGCCAAGCACAGCACCAGTGGTCCTGCGTCTGTGCACAGGGTGTACTCCTGAGAGAAAAAAAACATATCAAAATGTAAGGATAGAGAACAAAAAATAAATGTATTTTACACTATCTGAGTGGAGCCTAATGTAAAGGGCAGTTTAACTTTCAGGGCTTAATACTACTTTGCATGACCTTTGCCCCGGGTCCCTTTTGTCTTAATGCAGGTCTGGTTAAAGGAGTTATTTTATGCTGTTCTCTATTGTAGTATTTGGCTCCCTTCTATATTGCACAGAATTTAATTCCAGCAAAGCTTTCCTGGATCTTCACTCATACTTAACCTTTGATAGCTGTGATAGCTGAATAACTCTGCGGCTTTTCCTGATGCCGGAAAATCTGTTATTCAGCTGACCCCACCAACTTGTTTCTGACTAATACTGCTGAGTCAGAGCTGGATCAACCCAACATTAACAGGAGCAATAACAGGCAACGGTCAGACTGGGAAAGCGTAGCTATTTACACCCTGTGCACATTGTTTTCATACTCCTTCTCTTTTCTCATAAGTAAATGATCAACCTGAAAGCTAAACAGGTTAAAAAAAAATATTTAAACAAAATTCCTTCAGCACAATGTGAAATGGGTTTTATGAACAGATGCCATATGATTTATTTGGGGACATGCCATTTAGTTACATTTGAATGATGCAATCACAAGGGTAAACATTAACTTTTTTCCTGTGTAGGCCGTTTGCTGTGTCATATAATTATAAGGACTACTTTGCTTATATGTAGTTATTGCTATAAGTGAACTAAAAATAAAACCCCTAACAAAGGACTGAAGGGTTTTGGATTTCGCTTAAGCTTTTTGTTAAGGGTGGCAAAGTCTTGCCAGTAACTTCCATTCTGCAATATAAAACTCGTCCACAGTTGTGCCCACTTAACCGGCTACAAATTACAGGGTTTAGCTGTATGGCATCAGAAAGTCAGGATTATTTACACTTCTGCTGTCTGGCACATAGTAAGTATGGTTTATAGTTTATAAGCCCACATGGAAGAAAAATATATTTAAAATAAATAATTTAAAAATATTCTTCCTAAATACATTTTATATATTACAAAATATATGAAAAATATTTTTAAAAATACAATTTCAAATATACTGTATGTCTTTACAAATACATTTAATCTACATTTTTGGAATGCATTTACAAATATATGTAAAAATATATGTTAAAAAGACTTTTTTATATGTTAAAAAACATCTGAAGAATATATTTAAAAAAGATATATATAAAAAATATTTTTCATATATTTTGTAATATATAAAAAACTAATTTCAACATGCAGTGTATATATATATATATATATATATATATATATATATATATATATATATATTGAAATATAGTGACTATGGACAAATTGTAGTATTTCAAATAAATGTCAATATACTTGGGAAGAGTTTTTTTTAAATATATTTCCAATATATTTTTCTTCCATGTGGGAGTGGGGGAAGAAATAGGCATGTTGTACTTTCTGCTTAAAGCCCACCTTTAGCTGAAAAATATTTTTGTTTTGGAGAGAGCACTAAAAGCCAAGCTACAGGCTCAGACATTGACTATTTTTAGTTCTTATGCTGCTAGCATTATTAAATAGAAAGGAAAATGTATCATATTTACTTGTTTTTTGTTTGTTTTTTTTGCTTCCTGGTTTCCATACCTAGACAAATGATTTCATACATTCCAGCAGTCTTCAAGAGCGGATGGAGGGTTCTCATCTCAGCATATGCCTGAGCTAAGGGCAGATGGATTCCAGGAAGTAAATGCTACAATGCTACATGAATCATCTGCCCTTACTCAAGATGGCCACGGCCAGACATGCCAGGGGGTGTTTTTCAAAATTATTTCTCAGGAAAATAAAGCATGGAGACATGAATGGATGTATGGTGGAGTTTGCTTTGAATATTAAATATGAATTAAATAGCATTTTTTGTTTGTGGTGCTCAGATGCAGTACAGTTCAATTTTAAGCACCTGGGCTTTTAAGGTGCCAGGTATCAAACACATGTCAATCACATATCAACATACATAATTAAATTTTTTCCATAATATAAAAAATTGCTCATAAAACATCTATTAAAAAGGGGGAAAAAATTCTGATAATCATTGATATAGGTCTACAAAAAAAAACCATCCAGCCCCCTACAAGCTTATCAAAATTGTATGTTAAGATAACCAATTCTGTAAACTCTATCACTCTGTAAATACATGAATTCTTAGTACAGATGGAGGAGAAGAGGGTCACTGATGATATGTAATACTCCTGATGAAGCCTCTTTGGATGCAAAACACATAGCGCTCATTGGTGACCCTCTTCTCCTCCCTGTTTGTAAGGAAGTCATTTGTTTATGTCATGTGTCTGTGTGGTTTTGAACCTGGATCCTTCTGGTTCTGGTCCTGGTACTGCAGCTCTATTCACTCACGAAGATCTAAATCTCTGAAACATGTACTTTGCTTAGTACTTCTGCCCCTTGGACACCTTAGCTCCATGTGCCTTCCAGCTTTGGTCAATCTGCAATCAGCTCAACCTTTAAATACCTGGAATTTCTCTGCTTTGTTCCCGTTTCTATGGACTTATTCCCAGGATGTGTGCTTTCCTGTGTGAACTGCTGAACTACTGGATTATGGACTTCTGCCTGATTTCTTGACCACGCTTTCGCCTGACGATTCTGCGTTCCTCTGCCACACTGTGCATGACCCCTGCCTGCTTTTGACCATTCTTCTGGATTCTAATTTTGTGCCTTTCTGCAAAGATTTGTTGCTGACCCAGCATGTCTGACTATGTTGACTTCTCAACCCTCAACCTAAGCTCCACTTCAGAATCTATCTTACATCAGGTACCTTACATAACAAGTGGACCCAGCTGAGGTAGTTAGGCCTATCTCACATCAAGGACAGTTGATTGGTGCTTATAAGAAGCATCCTTCCTCTTTGGACACTAAGCTGAAAGAACTTACTGCTATGATTAAATACTACTTGCTGCCGGCTTCCTCTGAACCAGTCCGGACTCCTGCTCCAATCCAAGCCGTCTCTTCAGTGCCTCCCAAACTTCCTTTGCCTGAAATATTTGGAGGTGATACTGAAGACTGCAGAGGCTTTTTGAACATTTTCCGTTTGCATTTCCGTAGTATCCCTGAGACATTCAGCACTTCTTCAGCCAAAGTGACTTTTCTAATTTCTTTGTTAAAGGGGAAAGCCTTGGGATGGGTCTCTCCTTATCTGGAATTCAACAATCCTCTACTGCAGGATGCCTATAAGTTCTTGTCTTCTCTTCAGACTGTTTTTGACAAACTAGGCAGGGTTTCAGCACAATATGCTATTGACTTTTGTACACTGGCTGCTGAGACTCAGTGGGATGCTGGTGCTCTTCACGCAGCTTTTCGCAGAGGTCTTGCAGATCGCATCAAAGATGAACTGGTGTATAAAGATCTTCATGATGACCTTGAAAAGTTCATAGAGCTGTGTGTCTGTCTGGATGTCAAGTACCAAGAAAGCAAGAAAGGTGTCAGGAGAAGTTATGGACTCACAAGCTACCTCGGCGAGTTTATTTAACTTAGCTGTCTCCTCCTGACAGAGGCAGAGAGGCAAAGGAGACGCTCATTGGGCCTACGCCTGTATTGTAGACTAAAAGGAAATATGTTATCCACTTGCCCTTCCTGTCCGGTAAAAGGGAGGATCTAACCCATGTTGGAGGAGCAGGGTTAGATCTTACAAATTCTTCCTCCAAAACTAAGACCACGGTACCTGCAACTTTCCATTTAGCCTCAAATTCTATATCCTGTGAGGCTTTGGATTGGCTGTGGATTCTGGAGCAGATGGTATATTCTTAGATCACACTTTTGCTAAGAAAAACAATATTCCTTTTGTTTTTTAAACCAAGACCCTTGAGCATCACCACTCTGAATGAACAACCATTAGAAAAAGTTACAGTGGAATTCGAGATCACTACAATCATAACTCAGGTTGGAGCACTCCACAAGGAAGCTATTATCCTATCCCTGATTGACTCGCTGTTCCTGCCTGTCATTCTTGGGTTTCCGTGGTTGGAAGAACACAGCCCTTCTTTTGACTGGGTTATTAAAGGATACGTTCACCTTTGGAACATGTTACATGTTCCACCCATTTTTTAGGGTGGAACATGTAACATGTTCCCTTAGCCGCAGCTGTCGCAAACCGGCAGTCAGTCGTAAGACATTGCTGGCATGATACAGGCTTGTGGACAATGAGACACTCATCCACACTGCCATAGGATGTAAATCTGACCACTCTTGCTCTTCTGGTTGGTCCATGCCATTGAGGCCTTGGAATATGTAGTCCCATCCTGGATATTACGTATAATTGCTCTGATTAATGCTTGTTCAATCCTTTTGTAAGTATAATTATGGCAATCACTTCAATGTTATTTACTTATTATTTATGTGTATATTATCATTTAATCTTGTATGTCTATTTTGAAATTCCTTCCGTGTCTATGTCCCTGAAGAAGATCAAAAATGGAATGATCAAAACGCGTCGGGGTAGTCTCCCTTCTTTTGGGAGTTTTTTTCATGTTGCAAAGAAAGTATTTTGTAGTATTGTCAAAGTCAATGTCTTTTTTTAAAATATATGTGGAGTAGTCTCCCTTTCTTTGGGAGTTCCTTTCATGCTCTGAAGGAAGTAATTTGTAGCATTGTCAGAGTTAATGTTCCTTAAAAAACATGTATCTTTTATAAGGATTTTTATGGAATAAAGTATGTATCCCTTTTAACCACTTGCCTACCGAGCACTTCTACCCCCTTCCTGACCAGGTCAGTTTTCAGCTTTCAGGGCTGTCGTACTTTGAATGACAATTGCGCGGTCATGCAACATTCTACCCATATGACATTTTTATCATTTATTTTCGCACAAATAGAGCTTTCTTTTGGTGGTATTTACTCACCACTGGGTGTTTTATTTTTTGCGCTATAAACAAAATAAAACAAAAAAAAAGTTTTTCTTTGTTTTTCTTATAAAATTTTGCAAACAGATAATTTTTCTCCTTCAATGATGCACTGATGGGCACTGATGAGGTGGCACTGATGAGCACTGATAGGCGGCACTGATGAGCTGGCATTGATGAGGTGGCACTGATGATGAGCACTGATAGTCAGCACTGACTGATGACACTGACTGGTGGCACTGATGGGCGGCACTGAGGGGCACTGGTGAGTGGCACTGGTGGGCACTGGTGAGTGGCACTGGTGGGCACTGATGGGCACAGGTGTGTGGCACTGATGGGCACAGCTGTGTGTGGCACTGCTAGGCACTTGTAGGCAGCACTGCTGGGCACTTGTGGGCTGCATTGGTGTGTGGCACTACTGGGCACCAATCATCAGGGCACTGATGATCGGTGCCATTCTCTCCTCTGACAACTGCTGGTTCTTGGCAGTACTTTGTGTACAGCGATAACCGGCAATTGTATTTCCCGGTGATCAGTGAGTCATTGGACACGGCTGATCACGTGGTAAAAGACCACTGTGATTGGCCTTTTACCACATCACGGAGATTGCTGGGTGCGCGCCCCCGGAGCAGGAGAGTGTGTTCTGGGAGGACATAAGATGATGCCCTCCCAGAACTGGCCAGCTGCAGTGAAGCTGTCATTTGGCTATTTGTGGTTGGCAAGTGGTTAAAGAACTTTCTATGTGTATATGTACTATGATTGCTGCCCTTATGGGGGTGTCTATTTGCGTATCCTTTAAAGATATAACCTCCTGGGGGTCGTATCATCAGTAGGACTGTATATATCATCCCAAAAGACTCACAGTCTATTGGCTTCTTTGACTATACCTCCAACCTTGCCTCAAGAATACCACAACTTTGCCAATGTATTTTGCAAGAAAAAAGCAGCAGTTTTACCCCCACGTCACTCTTTTGACTGTAATTAACCTGATCCCTGGATCGCCTCTTCCGAAGGGAAAGACATATTCATTGTCACAGTCTAAACAAAAGTCTGTGGAAGAGCATATTCAGGACAACTTGGAAACAGGCTTTATCTGTCACTCTTCTTCCCCAGTAGGGGCAGGTTTATTCTTTGTTGAAAAGAAACATGGGGTCTCTGTCCATGTATAGATTATTGTGGATTAAACAAAATCATTGTAAGGGATTCTTATTTTCTGCCCCTTCGCCTAGAACTATTTGGTGTTCTCAAAGGAACCATTATTTTTACTAAGCTGGACTTGCGAGGGGCCTATAACCTGATTCGTATAGGAGAAGGTGACAGCATTCAACACTCCCAATGGACAATATGAGTATCTAGTTATGCCATTTGGACTCTGCCTTCCAGTGTTTCATGGATGATATCTTTCATGACTTCAGAAACAAGTTTGTGATAATCTACCTGGATGACTACTTAATCTTTTTTAAGACTCACCTGGAACACATGTGAAACAAGTACCACATTGGCTACAATAGAATCCCTCTACAACAAAGTAAAAAAATGTAGCTTTCATCAGAGCCACATACCTTTTCTGGGTTACATTATAAGCCATGAAGGCTTTCAAATGAACCCACAAAACTTGCTGCTCTTCTGCCGTAGTTACAACTGAACACCTTGAGAGGTCTTCAAAGATTTCTGTGATTTGCCAAATACTACAGATGTTTTATCTAAGGCTAGGGTTTACTTGTATTGCTGCAACTCTTACTGCTATAACCAAGAAGGGGGTAAATTGTAAAGTTTGGTCCTCTAAAGCAGTGTCAGCTTTCCAGCATCTGAAGGAAATGTTTAGCAAGGCTCCAATCAGGGGCGGACTGACCATATGGAAACTCGGGCTCTGCCCGAGGGCCCGAGGTCAGTAGGGGGCCCCATGAGATGCCCCTGGTACCTTTTTCATAGGCTTTTTTGAGTTTGGGCAAGGACACAGGGGCCCCATGATCCCCTATTGCCCGGGGCCCCATGAGTTGTCAGTCCACCCCTGGCTCCAATCCATCAGCATCCAAACCCAGACCTCAGCATATTGTTGAAGTTGATGTATCTGAAGTAGGGTCTGGTGGAGTGCTGTCTCAAAGGTAACCAAAACAGGTAGAATTCACCCAGTAGCATTTTTATCTAAAAATGTTTCTCCTGCTGAAGTCAACTATGATGTCGGGAACTGAGAACTACTGGCAATTAAACTTGCATTGTCTGTATAGAGGCATCTCCTGGATCATGGCTGGATCTCAGGGGGGTTGCTGGGTTGGACTGTGCTTCCCAGATTTCAGTTGTTCCCCCCCCAAGCCAGGTGCCCCCCCCCCATGTACATGTTAACAGTCCAGACAGGAGCAGTGACAGCGGCAGAATGGAGAGAGAGCAGAGAGGAGGTGCAGGCTTCTCTGTGATCTTCCTCCTCCTGTCATAACAGCGATCCTCCATACAGAAGGTTACACAGGATTGCTCTTAGATCCGGCAGTACACAGTTTGATTACCCGCACCCTACCCACATTTACAGGAGTTGAGCAGTCTTTGAAGGAGATGAGGTTGGGTAATCAAGCGGTGTACCATTGGATCTAAGAACGATCCTGTGTAGCCTTCTGTATGGAGGATCGCTGTTATGAAAGGAGGAGGGAGATCACAGAGAGCCTGTATCTCCTCACTACTCCTGTAGTTCCCACATGTAAGATTAAGTGAGGGGGAGCTTGTGAAGGAGGGGTGGTGGGGGGCTGTTTGTGCTGGGAAGGATAATTGGGAGGGATGTGTTAGAAGGCAGGATTGGAAAGGATTTGTGTTAGGAGGGGGGAATTGGTGGGTGGGATTAGTGCTAGGAGGGGAGAATTGCGGAGGATTAGTATTCGGAGGGGGAAATTAGGGGGGGGGGGGATTAATGCTAGAAGAGAGAAATTGGGGAGGATTATTGCTAGGAGGGGGGAAATTGGGGGGATTTGTGCTGGAAAGTGTGGGGATTTGGGGGGGAATTGTACTAGGAGGGGGGGGTGGAGATGATTTTTACTAATAGGGGTGATTTTTTTGGGGGGGAATTATACTAGGAAGGGGGGCTGGCTGAGGGGGGACTTGTACTAGTAGGGGTGATTTGGGGGGGGGATTTGTACTAGGAGGGTAGATACGGGGGGATTTGGGGGAGGATTTGTGCTGTGAAGGGGGTTAACGTGGTGTATTTGTACTAGGAGGGGAGATTTGGGGAGAGGAATTAAACTAGGAGTGGAAATTTGAGGGGATTTGTACTGGGGGGGGGGGGGATTGGGGAGAGAATTTGTGCTAGGAAGGAGAAATTGGGGGGGGGTTGAATTTTTGGGGCATGGAAGATTTGTAGGAAAATGGGGAGGATTTGAGCTGGAAGTTGAGATTAGGTGGCAAAGTCTTGTGCTTGGAGGAGGACTTGGACTGTGAGGATGAGGCATTTTTGCATTTTTGGTTGGGTAGATTTTGGGCTTGCAGAGGGATAGTATGCTTAGGGCATGAGAGTGTTGATTAGTGCTAATTTTTGTTTTGGGGGGGGGTGCAGTTTGCCACCATCACCTTGAATGCTAGATAACCTTGTCCCAGCACACACAAGGCACTCAACAGATCTACTCCCCCCAAATAACAAATAGCTGAGATCAGA